CACCCCCTTCCCCACCCACTACATCCCCCACCCCCACCCCATTGTAGGGCTGCCATCTGGGTCTCACCGTCCAGGATGGCCCACTGATTGTCAATCTCTGTGTGTTTCAGGTAGGAGTCTTCAATGGTGGGGTCATAGTCAGGCACAAAAATCTTCTGGAAAAACTGGATGGTGAGGGCACTCTTGCCCACACCCCCATCTCCCACCACCACCAGCTTGTACGTGGGGAGGTTGTCACTGGGGACGGCACTGGTTGCCATGTTTACGGTAGGTCGGACCTGGGGAGGCAAGACATGTGTAATGAGGCCAGGGGCTTTTTCCTTTCCGACCTTATAGAGTAATAAATACTCCCAATTATATATTGATTCAGTCATTTATTGAATACCAACTATGTGCCACACCTGGTCTTGGGGACACAGTACTACTAGACACCATGAGGTCTTTAACAAGTACAGCCAAAAGCCATGTCAAAGAAGCGTTTCGACCACTAAAGTCTGCCCTATTCCCATACAGGTAAGCATGTGGGTGCTAGTCCGAGCAGGGATGGCACCTTTTACTTCAGCTCTGGCCATGGGCCTGCTGTGCCCAGAAGGATTTGAGGTTGCCTGAGCTAAGGGAAGGTTGGCCATAACAGCCTGGTGCACCAGAGTTCAGGATCTCCGTGCCCCCCCTCCCCCGAATTTAGTGATTGTGGCTCCTTTCCCTCAGTCTCCTTGCCCTTTGTCATGCAGAAAGTTGTGCTGGAATCTCTTGGCATCTGGTCAACCCCTGTGTTAGCTTGGCGGGAGGAAGAGGAGGGGCAGGGCTAAGTTTTGTTTTAATGATGTTGAGTCCAGCTAAGGCAGTGGTTCTCAACCAGGGGCAATTCTGCCCCCCAGGGACATCTGCAATATCCGGAGATAATTTTGGTTGTTAAAACCAAGTGGGTATTACTGGCATCCAGTCAGCAGAGGCCAAGGCTGTGGCTACACATCCTACCATGCACAGGGCGTCCCCCACAACACAGAATTATCCATCCTAAGATGTCAATAGTGCTAATGAGCTAAGGTGACTAGGCAGGAGCCGGAAATGTGGGGCCAGGATTCTAAAGAATAATTGAGCCTTAACAGATAAGGACTGATTGTGAAAAGGTGACAGCAGAGAAGCAAAGAGTGATCTTTGGAAGCAGCATCATAAAGTGGCAAGGAGGAGAGGGAGGCAGGGAGCACGGAAGGAGCGCTCAGCCCAGGGATCTGGGCTGCTAACTGTGGGCCCCGCCAGGGTGCCAGAGAGAACAATGCCCCCTCCTGCTATGGCGACACTCCCGGGTAGCAGGAGCACGGACCTGGTGCCAAGAGGGTGCAAGCTTGATCCTGCCTCACGGTACTAGAAAAGAATCTCTGCACAAGCTGGGAGGCAGAAAGGCATGGCATAGGTGTGACGGGGACACTCAAGGGTGCGGACTGGGTGTCCTGTGTGCCTCGCTGCTGCTTGGGAAGGCCACGCCGAGCCATACCTTCCTTACCTATCAGATGAAAGGGCTCGATTTTTTTTTTTTTTTTACAGTTATTTGCAGCTCTAAAAGAGTCCTCAGTTCTAGAGAGCAACAGAAAGGGTGTTAGACACAAGTGTGGGTTATGTGGCCACACTGATTTGCATGGGGCTACGGGGGAGAGTCATTGCAAAAACGCTCTGCAGTTACTGAAACTTGATGTTGACATTTAGGATTTCCCTGCATTGTGAGGAGGTATAGGTGCTTGTATACACTGCGGGTGAGCATGTAAATCTGTCCCGACTGGATTGAGAATACACTCGCATAATTATATCAAAACTTAAAATGACATACCATCTCTCGAAGCTATCTGGTATATGAGGATTCATTCTAGGAAATAATCAGACAAATGTACAAAGATGTAAAGAACAGGGGAAAATGGAAATCACTTACATGTTGGGGGGGAGTTAAAGAAAAAGTTATCTACACAATGCAATACTATGCAGCCATGAAAAAGGATGATAGACCCTAACCTAGAAAAGTTTATATTATGCATGAAAAAAGCCCCAAACAGGCTGCAAAACCACAAGTACATATGATTGCCCTTCCATGAATGAATCTATATGTCTAGATGTGGTTCTAGGCATAGAGAGGACTGGCAGATTTGGGGGCACTTTCTCAATTTTTCTCAACACTTGCTACAACAAGCTAATATTATATATGTATACTGGGAAAGTTTAACAATATTAAAATATTCCCACCAATGGGAATAAAAGGTACAGCACAGGGAACATAGTCAATGGTACTGTAACAGCAATGCATGGTGACAGATAGCTACATTTGTGGTGAGCGGAGCAGAATGCAGAGTTGATGAATCACTATGTTGTACACCTGGAACTAATGTAACATTGTGTGTCGACTATCCTCAAATAAAAAAAAAAATTTTTTTTAATGTTCCCGCCAAAATAAATGTTCCAGCTACCTAAAAATGTGGGACTCCGCATCCTTCAGGTAGGGGTTTAAGCTCCTTTGGCGCAGGATATTGGGCCCAGGGGCCGGCTGAAGCCCCAGCATCTGGTGCCCTGTCTCCCCAAGTAGGGTAAAGGTGGGGACAAGTTGAGGCTTTGGCAAACTGAGCTCTCCCACATGACAAGGGATGGTGGTCCAAAGGGGCCACAGGGCAGTTGGAAGGAAACAGAAATGGGGAGAGGAGGGCAAGGGTCAGCTCCCTCTCTCCTTTGCCTCTCAGGTCAGGGGAGCAAGGTGTCAGGCCCTCCTTACCCGCCATCTTGGCTGAGGGTGGACAGTGACACCGGGCCAGGGTGGGCATGTTTGCCTGTGAGAGAGGCTGTTTCTAAAGCTCCCCTCCATTCTCCGCTGGCAGCGACATGAATAAAAAACACTCGGCGGGTAGGAAGATATCAAGAAGGAAAATTATTTCTCTTGATTTTCTTCTCAAAATAAAACAAGATAAGAAATCTCCACTAGTAAGTATGATAGAGGACATGAACTGAATCTGAGTTGGTCCTCAGACCAGCCACAGCAGAATCACCCGGGGACCTGCTTGCCAAGCAAGGCAGCTGCCAGGAAACAGACGAGGGGCTCCTTCCCTTCACAGAGTTCTGCACTCAGGGGTTGAGCCCCTGAGAGACCACAGGCAGCCAGCTCGGGGTTCCCTCCCAACCAAGACCCAATGGAAGCAGGTTAGAATGCACAGCACAAAAATTGGACCGATCTCTCGCGGTGAAAAACCCTTAAGTGCTGCTCATCACTGATGGGCCAAGTCCCAGTTCCTTCACTGGACATTCAAGGCTGTCACTGGTCACCAGTACTGCCTCTCCAGTGGCAGCTATGCCACAGCCTCTCACACTCTACTCGCTCTCCCAACCAGCTTTATGTTCGCCCAGTGTACCCTGAGGTCACACCGAGTCCTCTGCAGACCCCGAGGCCCCCTGGGAGAGCACATACCTCTTCACAGGTCAGGCCCGGGCCCAGGAATCACCTCCTCTGGGAGGCACCTCCTTCTACTCTGCGCCCTGCAGTTCCTGGTGCAGAGGCCACCAGCACCCTTGAAACCGTCTACATTTAATGTGCACAGAAGGGCAGGGACGGCACCTCGTCCCTCTCTGTATCGCCAAAGCCTGGCAGAGCAACAGCAAGGAGCAAAAGGCTAGCTGAAGGCATTTCTGAGCCACTGTCAGACCACCTACTAGCCACAGCATTGGGCCTGACCATGGAGAGGGCCAAGAGGCAACCCTCCCGGCCTCCTTCTCCCAAGTCAGCTCAATCACACAGAAAAGCCCCCTGGAAGCAAGTGTGGGCCCAGGAAAGAAAGAAGGCGTTGCAGAGCCAAGAGAATGAGTCCAGAACCAGGCCCCTCCCCCCAATTCATAAAGGCTCTTCTCCTGATGGACATGTTTTTCCAGGCTTTCAGCCTCCCCCCTAATAATCCCTGACTAAACAATGTCTTTTTAAGTGCAGAGGGCAGTCAAAATGCACCACACTCCTACAAAATAGGCTGGACTCAAGCAGTAAAGAGAAAGATTTTTTTCCAGTCGCCACAGGCTATGACGAAAGACACCACAGGACAAAAAGTTGGTTGGTGGTTAAGGAGCAAACTGCTTACATTCACAAGACCCCCCTCCTCTCTAGACTATTCAACTAGAAGATCAGAGATCTTTCTAGATCTTTTTAGAGATCATTCTAGAATGTCGGTTCTTTACTTTTTGGGGGTCGTGGATGGCCCCTTTGAGGTGGGAGGGTAGTATAAGGTGGACCTAGGGTCTCTTTTTAAAGTTCCCCCACCAGTTTTCGATGCTAGATACTCTCCCACAGACCAGTTGGGCAAGTTACTGTTCACAGCCTCAGTTTCCTATTTGTAAGATGGGATTGATTAGAAAATTATACTTTGCAGGACTGCTTTAAGCATGAAATTAAAATGTACGAAATGTGCCCAGTTTAGAGAAGGTGCTCCAATGTTTGTTCCTGCGCCTTGTTTACTTTGTTCCCTGGAGAGACTCCCCCATCAGAAGTCCTGCTGCCACCTCAGCTCCACGTCAGGCAGGCCTGTGTGGGAACGTCACCCAACATTCAGAACGTTGTTTGCATGGGAAATGGCTCCGAGGTTCAGGCAGCCCCCTCCCCTCAGAAACCAACTTTTGGAACAGCTGCCGCTGGGCCTGTGGGCGGCTGAGCGCTGGTTCCCATGGCAACCACCGCTCCCAGCGCCCCTCCCAGTCCACCGGCAGCCCAGCCCCTCACACCTGCTGGAAACTTTTTCCTCAAAGGCAGCGTTGCTGCTTGGACAATTTTAATAACACGTATACAAAAACTTCGGGCATCTTTAACCAGAGAAATAAGCTTTTTTTGGCGGCTGTCTTTTGCTCCCTTTCTCTCTCAGGGTTAGCACCATCTTGCCGGGGTGTGAATTTTTGTTTCCCGAATGGCAGCTTTGTCTCCTCCAAGCAGCTCAGAAGCTCCGCCAGGACAGGAGCCACATCTCCTCATTCCCTTGCGTTTTACGGGGCCAACACATGGGAGGCTCAGGGCCCAACACATTGACTGACCGCCGGGTTCTGCCCCACGGCAGCCTTCTACCCATCCAGCCCTCCCTTGGGCCAAGAAGCAGGAGGTGATGCTCCTAGGAGGTGCGGGGCTGGGTGGACAGATGACCCCCGAATAGCCTCTTCAGCCAGCCATTTTCAAAGTATGCTGGGAGGGTTCCGAGACCTGCTGGGGACAGTCCTGTGCAAAGCCCCCCTTGGTTCTCCGGGGGGGTGGGTGGCCTGGGTGGGGGGGGTGTCATTA